TCTTCGAAACTCGTGCTGATCTTTACCATGGTGAACTTGGTTGCTGCTTGCTCCAGCGTCATTGCTTCGAACTGTTGGCGGAGCGCCTGGCAATCTGTCGCACCGGTTCGGCCTACTGGTGCCCCCTGTTTCGCCAGGCCCTCCTTAATCCCAACCACGGCCGCGCACGAGGTGGTGCCGTACGCGTTGATCTCCTTCTCTGGCTTCTGGTCGGCGCGGGATTGCTGAACGGTTGGCTCGAAGGAGGAGAATGATGAGGAGGAGGAGGAGGAGGAGGAGAAGAGGCAGACCTTCCCATCCTCCCTTCTTCCCCGTCCTACGTGTGGTGGTGGTGGTGGTGGTGGTGGTGGTGGTGGTGGTGGTGGTGGTGGTGGTGGTGGTGGTGGTGGTGGTGGAAAGTGGGTCCAGCATCTCATCCGCGTCGCCCTTATCGGTTCTGGGGGGGTGCATAGTGGGCACATCCTGGAAGCGATCCCGCCGGTGAGGCCGGCAACAGGGCAACAGCCTGGCAGCAGGTTAGCCTCCACTGCGCGGGGTCCGTGGCCAGCAGGGGCGGCTGCAGGCTCACCCACGCGGCAGCAGGTGAACCAGGGGGGGGGATTGTATGAGAAATGCAGGGGCACAGTGGTCGACGATCTCGGACCTTTCTGAGGCGCCCCCCGGGCTTCTGCTTCTGCGGCCCAGCCCCCCGGGCCACCGAGGAAGAACAAGAGCTCTCCGTGGGGCACCACTGGCAGGCTGGCTCTTCACGTGTGCTGTGCCTACTCCACGGCGACCCCGAGTCCCCACTTTGTGGGAGTTTCGACTGGACAGTTCCCCAGTTAGGCTGCCCAGGGGGTTCTTACTTGGTTACAGGTTGGTGCCTAGAGGATCGAAAACGGCATAAACAGAAACCGTTGGCGCTCCGCGCGGATTTCTTGGATCCGCGCTGGACCCCGCTGCCAGGCGCGCGGAGCGCGCCAGGGGCGGCGCCGGCGGGGGGGGCCCAGCGCGGATCAAAGACATCCGCGCAAGGCCTCAAAAGCTTATGCTTTATGTTTATGCAGTGCTTTCTTCTTCGACGCTCGCTCTCTCTCTCTCTCTCTCTCTCTCTCCCTCTCTCGCACGTGCTCGAAGGAGTGGGCGCGCGGACTCTCTGAGATCAGCGCCTGATCGGTACGTGCCACAAGAAGTTAATGCGGCCGCTTCATGCACCTCCTGATCTCACTTGGAATGCCCCATGCCAGGTGGACAGTAAGGTGGTGGTGCCGGAGGTAAGCGTAGCCAAGAGAGGGGCAGGAAGGGGAGGGGGGAAGGAGGAGAAGGACGAGGAGGGAGGAGATGGGAGGGACCTCCTCTTTCTCCTCCCCCTTCTGCTCCCCCACCCTCTCCGTCTGCTCTGGGACGAAAAGGAAAAACGAGGACCATAACCAAACTGAATGCGGAAACGTCCGTATCGACCTTGCTTTTCGCCCATCTTGGTCTTGTCGAGTCGTGGGTCATCCTTGCAAATCGGCGACGACCAGGATGGATCACGACCAAACTCATAGAGAAGATCTCGCGACATCTGAATCATGATGAGCCATTGCTTGACGGCCTATAGGTGCCAGGCGGGGGCCCCCGGGAGGCCGAAAACGTCCAAAATCTGTCCGTCGCGACTTCTTCACTGAGAACGGAAATGGGGTCCTCCTTCCCCACGTCCCCCATATCAAGCGTCTCGATTTACACGGGCCCCCCGGGACCAGTCCTGCATCCAGAATCATTGTTCGACGGTCCCGAGCCCGGTAAGGACCCCGAGAGGCCGAAGCCCATGCAAACCCTCCGTCTCGATCTGTCGAGATGCCCTATTTCTGGGATCCTCCTGCTCCCCCCATCCAGCGCGGGGACTGCGCGATCGAGGCTGCGCTCTCTGTTTCAGCTCCCTACCTTTGGCCTGGCGACGCGCCTGCGCGCGGCTGCAAAGGACACGCGGCAGAGAGGGCGCGCGACGGAAGCCACCGTGCCCAGGAGGAACCTGAACTCCAACAGAGCCCTGACATCCCCGCGTCGTGACACGAGTTACGACGGGGAGGAGGAGGGGGAGGAGGAGGAGGAGGAGGAGGAGGAGGAGGAGGAAGAGGAGGAGGAGGAGGACGAGGAGGAGGAGGAGTTGGAGGAGGAGGAGGAGGAGGAGGAGGAACAGCACTTGACAAGTGTCGGCCTCTGGGGGCCCTCGCCGGGCCCCGACGACTCAGGGCGGAGAGCGGGTCCCAGAGAGCGGGCCCCCGTGCGGCAACAAACCACGACGTCGGCTGTCGGGCAGCAGCGAGCGCTGCGCACTGCCAGAACGACGAACCGGCGGCCTTTGGCCGGAAATCACACACAGAGGGCGCGCCAGCATCCAGATGCAGGGGGGGGGAGAGTGCGGCCAGGCTGGGCGTAGAAGGCCTCCGCCGCTTCGGCTGCGGAGACCCTGTCCGACGCCCGCCGTAAACTTCGCCTCCACCTCCTCCGCGCCCCACATCCCGCTGCGACTGCTCATCTAGACCTCCTCTCCACCCACCTCTTCCTTGATTCGTCCTGCCTCCCCTTTCCTCCTCGCTCATCCTGGTTCCTCCTTCCCATTCTCCACCCTCCACATCCTCCTCCTCCTCCTCCTCGTCCTCCTCCTCCTCCTCCTCCTCGTCCTCCTCCTCCTCCTCTTCCGCCTCCTCCTCATCCTCCTCCTCCTCCTCCTCTTCCTCCCTACTCCCTACTCCCTCCTCCTCCTCCAATCCTTATCCTCATGAGCTGCCCTTCCCCCTCGCGCCCCCAGACCTGCCGGCAGGGTGGGCCTTGGCGTCTAGCCGGATCTCGAACAGCGACACGTGACACAGCCCCACGGATGAGCGGCGGGCTGCTCTGAAGATGTGGCTCTCGCTCTGAGCGCCGCGCCCCCTGGAGGAGGAGGAGGAGGAGGAGGAGGAGGAGGAGGAGGAGGAGGAGGAGGAGGAGGAGGAGGAGGAGGAGGAGGAGGAGGAGGAGGAGGGGAGGAGGAGGAGGGAGGGGAGGGAGGGAGGAGGGGAGGGAGGAGGAGGAGGAGAAGGAGGAGGAGGAGGGGGAGGAGGAGGAGGAGGAGGAGGAAGAGGAGGAGGAGGAGGAGGAGGAGAGGAGCAGGAGGAGCAGGAGGAGGAGGAAGAGGAGAAGGAGGGGGATGAGGAGGAGGAGGAGGAGGAGGAGGAGGAGGAGAAGGAGGAGGAGGATTGAGAGCCTGCAGCAGTCGTGCGGGCGGGCGGCAGGCCGCTGTCGAAAAGTGAGGCGCGCTCGCCTCGGCGCCCCGCGCCCTCGCCCCGCGAAGCTGCACAGCACCCCGACGGAGGGAGGGCCGGTGCCTTCCGAGCCGTGGCGCTCGCCTCTGCGCCTCGCACGTTCGTTTTCGCGCTTCCGCAGCAGCGTCACGGACGCGGGGCGGTTCCTTTGCAGCATGCGCTTCTCGCCGTCGCCGCGCGCATGCATCTGGAATGTCTGCGGCAGCTTCGCGGATTCGCGCGGCTGAAGTCCCAAGACTGGTGTGGTGGCACGATGTGGGAATGCTGGGACGTATCAGTCGCGTTGATCCGCGGTGTTTGAAGTCCCAGGAGTGGCTTCCTGGAACGATCTAGGACTATCAGGACGCAATAGGTCAGCTTGATTTGCGGCGCTAGAGCCCCAAGCATTGTGCTTTGGGACGACTGAGGAATATCTGGCGTATGGTGTACAGGTAAACACTTCCCACAGTGAAGATGTCTTTTTGTAAGGACCTAGGAAGAGGAAACTTGGAGGGAGGGTTTATGGCAACATCGCTGATGACCAAGGCCGCGCTAACGACGATGTTAGTTAACGGCAATGATGGGAATATCATGTTTGCGACACCGAGTTCGCGCAGAACAAATTGTAGAAAATCACGAGCCACACTCAAGCGAAATGTGACAATGCATCGAGCGAAAACGTCGCAGCGAATTATAGGAAAGCACGAATCACCATGTCCTACAATTAGTTTGGCCACGAACCAATCCCACCTACAGTGCCGAAACCTACATCGCCGTTACCTACATCGCCGTTAGCGCGTCTACGGGGTGAGTCTTGGGTTTGCACTGATCCTCCTCCTCTTGCCCCTCCCGCGCACCACTCCTCCAAAATGGGGTCCGAGTGGATGGTGTCGGGCGATCGCGCCGCTTCGCCCATGCGTCGGCGGTGCATGGGCGCCGCCGGCGTGGAAAAACTCGGGGTCTGCATCGAGCCGCGTGGCCGATGCACTGGCGATGCGGCGAGAATCCTACAATCCCACCTGCTCCGACTTCGCTTTGGGGGCCTGGAAGAGTCCTCAACCTCTCCCTGGACCGAGTGGATTCTGAGAAGACTGCCCACCTTGGCCCACTCACCCCCTTGCGGAGATGGTTTTGACGTCTCCATAGCCACTGCCTGGGGGGTGGACCTTCGGAGACCTCGGCAAGCGGCGCAGACGGATCATTACACTGGCCCACCCCCGAAGGCCTGAATTGATCCATGCCCCCTGGAATCCGGCATTGCGAACAAAAAAACGGCCACGTCGCAGACCCTGGCCACAACCGTGCAAAAACCACCGGTGTGACAAAAAACCTGCAGCGCCCGGGTCACAAAAGGCCAGCCGCCTGGATGTCTCTGGAGATCCGCTCCCCGGACGGTGGATATGCAGCTGGGGAAACCAAGAGGTACCGATACCGCCACCCCTGGCGGCGCGCACAAGGAGGTGGGGGGAGGGGGGAGGGCTTATTAGAAGCAGGCTGCTTCTTAGAGGGCGCCGGCCTTACATCTATAGATGAGGCCCGCGCCTTCTAAGAAGCAGGGGTGCTTCTAAGAAACCCTCCCCCCTCCCCCCACCCCCCTCTGCGCCTAGCTGACACCCCCCTGGGCCTCTCCAGGGGTGCGTTCTGGCCAGGACTTCGGGGCGAATCCAACGGTGGCGACGAGGGCCTCGCAGGATAGGCCCCAAGGGGGGGAAACGGGCGGTATGGGTCATGGTAGGGGTACCTTTTCCTCCACTCATCGATGTCCCCGAAGATCCTCCCCACGGGCGGTGTACGTGGATGCGAGGCGGGGATTTATCCATATCCACCGCCTGGGAGACGACGTCCTGGTGCTCCAGCGGGCGGTGGATATGGATATGTTTCGGCCCCTGGGGGCCCGAATGTGTCCATATCCACCGCCTGTCGAGGCTCCGAAAACTGACCGTCCAGGCGGTGTAGGAGTAGGAGTAGGAGGAGGAGGAGTAGGAGGAGGAGGAAGAAGAGGAGGAGGATGAGGAGGGGCGGGGACGCCGGCCGACCTCAGCGACCAGAGCAGAAGTCCGCCCTCCCCCCTCGCCCCGCCCCCCCCCCCGGACAGCGGGCGCTCGATCCAGGGACGAGCGAGGGCAGACAGGCGCTGTCCACTGCTCGCAAAGCAACTGCCCTGCAACTGACCCGGATCCGCCAGGGGGGGGATTTACGATGCACTACATCGAGGCGAACACAGCAGAGTTTTCGAACATTTGCGAGCAGGCACTTTGCGAGTAGTGGAACGCGCCCGGCGAGGGGGGAAAGTGAGAAGAAGAAGAAGAAGAAGAAGAAGAAAAAGACCCTCTCAGAAGGCGGCGGGACTTCTCGGAAGTCCCCTCGCGCCTTCGGAGGTTTTCTTTTGTGTGTGTGTGTGTCTTCGGGGCAGGCTCAGGACACTTGTCAGAGGGCCGGTGGAATTCCTAACCTCTTTTCGGTGGCAACTCATGCGAGCCTCCCAAACCATCTTGTCGGCTAGTGCGAATCGACGCCAAATCGACGCCAAATCGACGCTGACCGACGCGAAGTCGACACCCATCCACGCCGAGTCGGCGCTGCCTCGTCGAGTCCCAGACGCTAAGCGACGCCAGCCGACGCGAAGGACGGAACCCAGAGGGTGCACCAGGCCCCCATGATTTTGACTGCCTACCAGACCACCCCAACCCAACCCGAAGACCCGGATTTCGGGTTGGGGGGTGTATGGGTTCCATACGCGTTTGTTCGATGTTTCACGACCCCCCCCAACTGGAAATGGAGGGCAAATTGAAGCCTTCGGGTTGGGTTGGGGTGGTTTGGTGGGTGGCGAGATTTGCCACCGAGCCTTCTGAGAAAGCCTTCTCCTTCTCGCTTCCCCCCCTGCGCCTCCCAGGGCCCGTGTTCGGCCTCGTGGGGCCGGCCTGCCTCTGGGCCCTGCCCGGTGCCTCCCTTTCCTCAGCACGGGCTGGTCGCTGAGTTGAAGTTTTTTGTTTTTTTGTATAAAAAAGAATGTTTAGCTGCGCGATCTCAATTTCAGCACCTGAAAGTTCACAGAAAAGCCCTTTCCCATATTGAAGCCAAGACGGCCACCCACCCTCGCGAGAGACTGTGGCATTCGAAGGCTCTGCGCGCCTCCAAGCCGCGTTAGTCTTCTTATTGTTATTATGAATATTGTTGTTGTTACTGCTGGTGGTGGTGGTGTTGTTGTTGGTGGTGGTTGTGTTGTTGTTGCCGTTGAAATATCATGACAAACGATGATTGTTGGCCTCCCTCTCACCGGTGCATTCTGTTTTTTCGCAATCAAAGTGTGCCACTCGACGCTCGCACCCTGGCTTTTGCCAGGGAAAATCTTCGTGCTCAAACTGTGCCCCTGGCCCCCCGGATCACAACAACAACGGCTCCCGCCAGAGAGTTCCTCCAAATTTACTCGAGACCCCCGCTCCTGAGACTTCCTCACAATTTACTCAGGATCGGTGATCCCGCCTGTGACTTCCTCGCAATTTAGTCATGACCCCCGCTCCCAATCCGAGACTTCCTCACAATTTACTCAGGAACGGCGCTCCCGCTTGAGACTTCCTCGCAATTCAATCAAGACTTCCTCGCAATTGAATCAAGACCCCTGCTCCCGCCAGAGAACCCCCACATTTTGTTCAGGAATTGCGCTCTTGCCTGTGACTTCCATGCAATGTATTCAGAAATCGCGCTTTCGACGCTCAGGAAACATGCTGCGCCAAGGACGCCGCTACAACTTACTTAATAATCGCGCTCTCGCCATACCTAGGCATCCCGCTTGAACGTCCCACCCGCCCGACCCGCCCGTCAGGGGATCGCCCGCCCGTCGTGGGCTCCCGCCCGAGACTTCCTTCAGGAACGGCGCTTTCGCCTAGGACTCCCTCGAACGTTCACGCTCTTACCTTCCTGCTCCTCCTCCCTCTTCCTCCTCCCTCCTCCCTCCTCTTCTCCCTTCTCTCTCCCTCCTCTCTTCCCTCATCCATGTGCCTCTCTGCCCTATCCCCTCTCCCTCATCTCCCTCCTCCCTTCTCCTTCCCCTCTCCTGCCCCCTCCCTCCCTCATTATTTCTCTCTGTCTCTCTCTATCTCTCTATCTCTCCCCTCTCTCACTCTCTCTCTCTCTCTATCTCGTCTTTTCTCTACCTCTCTTGTCTGTCTTATTGTTGTTCTCTCTCTCTCTCTCTCTGTCTTTGCCTCTAATCAACCGCCTCCTCTTCGCTCTTCCTCCTGGCGTTTTCCCTCTT